TGGAAGAAAGTCGGAGAAAGATGAGACGGCTTTCTGTCTTCTGACTGGATTTCGAACAAACTAAAGCAGCGTTTGTTTCTCGTCGCATGTTTGACCTGCAGAGACAAAGTCTGCTTCAAAATAAAGCAGGTCCACTTAGCTTTCCCCAGAGCAACAAACTATATCTTATTCAAACTACCATTTTCCAAGGTCAAGAATAAACTTTAACAGACTCTGTTAGATCTTTAACATTTATATAAAGAAGATCCACTTACGTTACTTTATTCAGATAAATTCTGTTCACAGATTGTGAATAAGTTTGGAGAAAGATTGTAATATACCTACTAGTTTAAAGTTAAATTAACTGAATAGAATTTGTAATTAATTTATCCAAGTTACAAATTGAGAGACTTGTTAGTTGCTTTCCTCAAACAGTTTGAGTTGTTTTAACTTATCTGGTTTTACAGTGTAGTATTATGTGTTTATAGTGTGTGTAATTCATTTATTTTATTTTTCCCCTCCGTGTACCACCAGAGACATGGACCACAGTGGCAATTTAGGCATTTTAGGGTGGATTATTTCCTTGATATAAAGTTTCTCTTTTACCCAGAGAAGAATGAGTTCAGTAGTGGCAGAGGCCTCATTTGAGAAACATAAAGATTAAAGAAGACCGAAATATTGACCCGGGAACAAAAATAAAAGCAGAGAAAAGGGACAGAGAAATAAATCCAGAGGAGGAATACAGGAGGGAGTTTCACATCAGTGACAGACGTTTGAATGTGGAGATAGAGACGAAGAATGGGAGGATGCAGAGAATGATGTTTTGAGTGAAGCGAGCGCTGCCGCGGTGAGATTTCCTCGAGCGTGAAGCAGAAGATAAGCGGAGTTAAAGCGAGATTACAGGAGCGCAGGAAGCAGATTACAGGTGCACTGACAGCGTGGCAGACATAAAGCTGGATTACAGGAAGGTCTGAAACCTGAGCAGAGACAGACGCTCACACAGTCTCCTCCTTCTGTTCTCCTCCTGACATTTCTCCTTCATTCCTGGTCTTCCTCTCTGCAGTCCGTTTTTTTTTTTTTTTAAATCCTAATGCACTAAAAATATAAATCTGTGCATTTACAGGGGGTTTCCCGTTTATTTTACAGATTTCTGTATTTTTTAAATACATGGAAATAATAAAATTACAAAAATTATTTTTTATCGTTATCGATATTTACATTTTTTAATAGATAACTAAACTGTTAAATTTAAGTTTAATACTGTTGTTACATTACTAAAATTATGTAAAATTAGTGACAACAGTAAAAAAATATTTGTTTTTAGTTTTTACAAAAATGTTGAATATATGTTTATCGGTGTATAAGCATTGGTAAACTGTCAAAATACAGTTTTTATCAGTGAAAGCAGCAATAATTACTGTAATGTCACAGATAATGACTTTTATTACTGTTCTATGACTTTTAAATTAAGAAAAATCTAATAATAACAGCACTCTGCTGTACATTTAAGCCTGATTATTTGTATTATAGCAGTGTTCGCCTGTATTTATAGTTCGCATTAAAAAGACATTTACAACAAGATTAATTAATTAATTAAGTAATTTTAAAAGTCAGTTACTGTATTTTGTGTTATTTTACAGTATTTTTTAAAATGTTTTTACAGTGTGTCTCACTATTTATTTTCTCTCTCTTCTTTCTTATCTTCTTTTCCTCCATCTCTGTGAAATTCTCTCATTCCATCTCTCCATCGTCTTTCCTCTTGTAAATCTTCAGAAAGTTTGAAAATGTTGTCATTTCTTTCTGTTGTTAATTTTACAGATGTTTATATTAAAAAGTTTAATTATAATGTAGAAAATTCCTTAAAAATTCAGTCATTATTGAAGTAGTTTACACAGCTGTCCTTCACGGTAATAAATTGTACATTTGACGTATAAAACGTTCTGATTCTTCACTGATTGATTAAAACTTCCCTCCTCCAATCTCGAACTTCCAGAAGTTCCTTTTGTAAAAATCCCGGTCACATATGTGACACCTGTCAAAGCAAAATGAGGCACACGGAAATCAGTTTGCTGCTCTGTAGTGTGCTTTAGGGGTCAACCTGTTATGGTTTTGGGTTTTCTTGGGTTATTTCCTGTTTTATTTTGTAATTTTTCTCTTGTGTCTTGTTTTGCTTAACTTCTTGTCTTCCTGTGTTCTTCTACCCTCCAGTTTTGATTGTCTATTCTTCCCCTCACCTGTGTTTTTAGTCTTTGTGTGGTCTTGGTTCAGTGTCAGTTCATTTTTGGTTTTGTCCCTGGAATACTTTGCTTTGAAAACTTATTATCCATCAAAGAACCTTATTCAGGGTTCAGACAAATCAGCTGGAGTTTTCAACCAGCTCACATCTAGCTAGCTACGGTTGACTTCTAAAACTCTCGAGCCTACTTATGTCTGAGGACCTGTTGTGATGAGCTCTGCCCCCATTATCATCTTAAACTACATATGTGTGGCAACAGTAAATAAGGGGGTTAAGGCAAAGCAAAGTGTCATTTATAGCCCTGAAAACTCCAGTAAAATCTATCTACAGTATATAAGGCCCACAAAGTCTTCTAGCTTTAGTTTAATGTAAAATTCAACAGTCTGCTACCAACATTAGCAGATGTAGATGTTTGACACTGACTTTGAGCTTTACAGTCAGCAGCAGAAGCAGAAAGAGAGAGAAGGGAAGACATAAGGAGGGTATGTGAATAAGATTTTGGGATATGACTTCCTGCCGGAGGAGTTCTGTTTGTGTCACAGCCCGGTGAGACTTCTCTGTGGCGGCGAGGATCAGCGGAAAGACGAGGGCTCAGCTGGTCTGACCGCTAGCACAGAGGGGAGGGAGGAGAGAAATACAAAGGACAGATGGAGAAGATGAAGGAGAGAGGAAGAAAGAGCAGAGAGAGAGGTTGGAAGAAAGAGTGTAAAAGACTGAGATATGTGTAGAAAGCAAGGGATACTTTATAAGTACAGTGATTGATCACTGATAATCATATATAGGCTAATGCAAGTTTTTATTCGCAAGATTCAGTAAAACAAAATTTGTTTGTCAAGAAATGGCGCCACAGTTACATTCCCAGGAAAACTGAAAATGCTTTGGTAATATTTGTTTCTCTCAATTTAGCTTGTACTTTAAGGCAACCTTGGTAGCTCTTCCAGCTAACAGCATAAACCACAGAGAGTTAGGTTTTAGATTAGAACTGGTTATGTGCAGGAAACTTTAAAATGGGCAAATGTTGCAGCACTGCCTGAGATTTGTTTGCAGAGACTGTGGATTAACTTAATGTGACTTTGGCTTCAGAAAGTGGTTCTGAATTGCATAAATGTGGAAGGTGTTCTTCCATTTTGACTGTATTTGTTGGAAAGTGCAGGAATCTAAAACATATATATATATATATATATATATATATATATATATATAAAATTGTGTGGTTTCGTCAGATTTGTGTAAATTCTAGCAATAACAAGTTCCCATATTCCTGCAGGCACTGATATATACGCTAGTGTCGTCTGCATATTGGTGGTAACAGTCATTATGATTATGGTTTTAATTTTTTTATTCATTAACCCAAAAAAAGGGAACAGTAGGTCCAAGAACAACTGCCTCAAATAATTGTACAGTCAATATTATTCAGGTACAAAACTGAGTGCAAGTAACCCACATTTTATCAGCATTATGTTTAGGATTTGATATAATTTTATCCCTTATTGAATAATCGAATCAAGATTATCTTTCATCATTTGCAAGTAACTAAAGGGTAAGAGGTCATAAGTTTTTGGTTGCAGCTAATAATTTAAACAACATTAACAATAATTAAGCTAGCCTAATTAATTTTTTCCCCAACATGTAGCTACCATAGATGTAGAAATGTAGATATCTCATTGGCTACGGTTGTATGCCACCATATTGGTGAGGTCATCAATCATCATCAGATTTAAAAAGGATTCCCATTTGATAAGTGGATTCAATACTTTAGATTCGATAAAATGTTATTAAATCCCAAACATTACACTGATAGAGTTCCACTCAATTGAGTGACCTACTATTTTCCCTTTTTTTGGTTAATAAACATCGGTTGTTCTAAAGCATCCTAATGGCAGTTACCACCAATATGCAGATGACAATCTAGTGTATATGGGCTCTTGTTATTGCTAGAATTTACACAAATTTGACCAAACCACACAATACTATTTTCATATCGCTGCATTTTTCCCGACGTATGGCGATCACAGATGTCATATCGGGAAAACAGTATCCATGTTTCTATATTTATGTTAGCTAAAACCAATAAAGTGAGATGAGCAACAGAAGATATGAAATGTTCCGTTATATATACATGCTTTGCTAATAAAACACAATGAGCTTAACAAATCCACGTATTTTGTCTACTAGGAACTGGATATAAAAGCTATTAGAACCCGACTCTGAGCAGGACTCAAAGCCCAACTTAAAATCGCCATGTGTGTAAAACAGAACAAAATAAGACTTGAAGAGTAAAAATAGGCTGAATGTGAGCAGTTACGCTTCCTGTGTAAAAGCAGTGAGACAGAAACATGGCTGAAACTGGACGAATGTTGATGTGTCTCTCTTCTTTCCCTCCTTCCTTCCTTCCTTTTTTGCCTTATTTTCTCCCCTTCAGCTGAATTTATTGAGCTGTGTGGTGTATCAGATGGCTGAGCAGGTGTGTGTGTGTGTTTTAAGACGAGGGCTAACCTTTCAGCAGGTTGTGAAGCCTTTGAAGTCGGCCTGTTTGGAGGAGATGTGTTCTGTATCAAAGCGAAGGGTTTTGTCTTCCACAGTGAAGAAAGCGGCAAGACGCCTCTCTCTTCCTCTCTCTCTGTCTCTCTCTTTCTCTGTCTCTTTTAACGTTTTGCATGTGTTTACCTTGCCCACCCTCGCCCGTCCCCATCGTCCTGAGATCTGCTCTGGTCGTTTCAGAAACATCATCGAAACAGCTTCTGTCCAAAAACCTCCCGCCTGCTTCGCACTGTGTCTTTCTTACCTCTCACTCAGTCTTTTCCTCTCGTCTTGCCTCACCCTCTCCCTCCTTCCTGCCTCTCCTCTCCCTCTCTGGTCGGTTGACCCTGGGTAACAGAGATGATGACAAGGTGTGAAAGGTTTCCTGAGGGCTCTGAGTGACAGCAGCAGTCTCTCACACACACATACACACACAGTTGGCCAGATGGTGACTGCTCTTTGCGTCGCCCAAAGCTGCAAACTGCTCAGACCAGAATACAGAACACACTTAGATGTTGCTGAAGATTTAAAAGCACAGAAATGTAAATAAAATGTGGTAATTTTTATCAAACGGGAATATTTTACAGTATATTTGAGTATAGTAATATTAAAATATTAGTACCTGAACATTATAGATATACATTACATACATTAGTAATTTTTATCATTAGCAGTATATATATATATATTTTTAACTGTATACATTATTATATAATCCATATTTCAGATTCAGTTTATGTTAAAATGGTTAAAGACTTTCTACTCCCAACCCGATGTCACAAAGAATTATGTCCATATTATCCGAGTCCGAACCTCATCATTGACATCCTGCACTGGTACTGAACATTACATTTGGAAGTGTTGTGCCTGTTGTGTAGCGAGGCCTTTATTGCCTCTTAAAAACCAGTTTAGAGATATGAGGTTTTAACTTGCATGCTGTGACTCCAGTGTGAGAGGTTTTAACTTAATAGCAGCTTCGTTCACATTAAGGAAGAAACTCAGGATGGGTTTTTTTTATTATTTTGTTGAAGCTGTTGTTGCAAAATGAGACATCCATCACTTGAAAAATGCGGCTCTGCCTTTTAGAAAACGACCGCTGACACTGAAGTGATTCATGGAGGAACGTTATTGAAGCTATTAGCCTCAGCCCACACACACACAAATACAAACACACACACACACACACACAAATACAAACACACACACAAATACAAACACACACACACACACACACACTGTGGTGTGCAGATGCTCAGGAACACACACAAACAAGAATGATAGTGTGCTAATGTTAACTAAATTACATACAATTACGCAGCCAAATCTAATTCTCAGTTACAGATGGAGGGAAAACACCACATGCCTCCAAATGTGAACAATTAGAGAAGAACTGCCGCCATATTTCACATCACACAGACCTTCAGTTCATTTGCATTTTGAGATTCACACCCCCCAAAAATTTTGGACACAAATTGAATTGAGTTTTATAGCAGAAAGCCTAGAATTATTGTATATTACTCACAGGCTGTTTCAGGTTTAACTGTATTCACATTAAATTTTGTGTCCTAAACCTCATCATTTCCTAAATATAACCAAGCGTTTTGTCGGCCTAAATCCAGTACCCACGTTACTACAAGGCTGTTTCAGTATTTGAATATAAATATCATTAAATATAGCCCAACCCCATGTTCAGTATAAGCAAAATACTGACTTATACATTTTAAAATTGTAATCCTGCTGAACAACCTATTTTTATGAATGTACTTTCTACGTTGCACTTATTTAATGGGTTACCTGTTTATTATTTAAGAGATTTGGGTCGAGCTCGGACCAAAACTGGTGCCATGGTTCAGACTCGGTTCGGCCACTTTCAACTTATTTAGTTCGAACAAACTGGTGTGAAAGCTGTCGATCAAAATCAACAACCGCACTCAATTTGCTTGAAAACATAGATCTCTGTGTTTTACCCTGCAGACTCTGGTTCGGATGGTTTATGGTGTGAAAGTTGTAGATCTGTGATTTTAACCTGAATGGAAGAAAGGATCTACGAATACGTTCATCTGCTAAAATTATGATGTTTTTATATCTACAGTATTTATGAAGGATCATTTGGTAATGATGGTAGAATAAGGACTTCCTCATTAAAACTTAATCCCCTTTTTATCCGTAAAAATAAATAATAAAATGTTGTTTGAACCCTTTTGAATAAAGTCTGAAGAATAGCTCAACTGAATGTACATTTGGGGTAAATTATTAATTTATTCTTTTGATAGAAATATATGTAGCCTCCTGCTGAGCTTGGAAACACAATAAGATACAAGGCTGGACACAAAACTGAGCTTTCCACATTAAAGATTAATTATTACCCGAAATGGCCATTCGGAGATGGATGATATTATATATATATATAATCACTGCTGTAAAATATCAGATATTTTGGAAAATGGTTTATGTGTTAGAAATCTATATCCTATAGATTGAAATATCTGAGTAAAACAGGCACTTTAATGGGAATCTGCTTTGCCATACACTGTTGGACTGAATGTTATTGGCTAAAATGTCTGGCTGTGCAAAGGGCGAAAATTAGGTTGTCTGGGTTAAGTTGTTCCTGATACTGAAGGAATAGAATGACAGCCAAAGAAAACAACAAAAAACAAAGCCCAATCAAAAAAAAGTAAAGATCGGTGGCGAGAATCAATAGCAATGAGGTTTATTGATTTCTTTCATTTCGTTCATTGACATCATGCAGTGAAAATGGTGTCGAGTTTGATTCTGATTCTGCCCACACAGGTGGAGGTACAGAATGAGCAGCTGTTGTCGTACCGGGTTAATACTGAGAGACCAGTTTGTCATTATTCATGTAGTTGTTGCAGTGAGGACTCATAAATGACTAAACAAGAGAGACTTCAAGAGGTGTGAGAAATAGTCATCGCAGTAACAGAATCTGGATCCATATCTGATCAGCACTGTCTGACAGTTTGATCTGAGTTTGGTGCGTTGAGCTGGACGGACTCACTGAGAATGAGCTGTCAATCACAAGGTAGCCCCGCCCTAAAGCATACCCTGCTTTATGGTCTGTTTTACTCTAAATGGGACCATCAGTTACTAAATGAACATCATGCTGTATGGAAGAAGACCGAAACTAGAGACTGAGACCAGAAACTCATTAGGAAACTGTTTACTGAGATAATGGCATTGCATCGTTTTTTATTGCAACCAATAGAGCGCCCCCTGCTGGCCTTAACATAGAATGCAGGTTAAAGACACTTCGTGTTGGCGTCACTTCACAAACCCAGAAGCTCTGTACTCTGTTAATGGTCAATGTTGTAGATAAAAGCCATAGATCAGTGCTGTAGATACTGGGCATAGATCAGTGCTGTAGATGTAGGTCAGAAGTCTGTACTGTCTTTTTTGGTTCATATGATAGTAACAATAATTATAATGATATTAAACTTTCATACGTTTTAGTGAAGTCCACTAATTTGACTCTGGCCTGAGTCGAGGCCATGCCCCCCACAGTGACAGGCATTTGACATTTCTTAAATTTCCTGAGAGGAAAGCAGCTAGCAGAACTGAGGGTTACATCACCAAAACTATCCAATCAATGAGTTAACTGCCACTCCATGACAGTGACTTAGTTTAGTCCTTTGATCAAAATCAGTGTAAATGAGAACTTAAAGACGACAGTGGATGATTTCTTCACTTGATGTGGACAAAATAACATTTCTGTGCAGGAACTGAGGATGAAGTGTTGACTTTCCGGGCTGGCGATGAATAAACCAATGACAAACTCTCCTTTGAGGTTTTCATCTTTGTAAATTATGTCACATAGAAGAAATGCTTCTCTGCGTAAGTAAGCAGCAATTTACAGCTCAGCTATTAAAAAGGTCTTTGAAAACATTAAAATCCATCATTCTTCTATCAGAAACCAATCTTTTCTATTTTTTTTTGTATTTTGTTCAACTCTTTTAAAAAAAACACATCCTCCCGTTTCCACAGCAACCAGCAGCGCAGGTTCAAGTTTTTTTAGTTCATTCGGGTGCAAAGAGGAGTTGTCACAGCGGGGGATGAAAAAAAACAAAAACACAACAAGGAGCAGAGAAGAAAGGAGAGCCAGCTTTGATGTGAGCCTTCAGGACAGCAGAGGTTATGTCCCTTCAGATCCTGTATTCAGGTTCCACAGGTGGATCCATCCAGTCCTCAGCTCCAGTCCAGACCTCCATGTTACAGTCAGAAGTACAAGAACTGAGCTTTAAAAAGGCTCCACAGCTTCTGTTTTTCATTTCTCAAAATGGCTGTTAATGGACTGACTGCAGCAGTGCCAGTTTACAAGTTACTTACTAGCTTGTTCTTTTCTCTTTCAAATATCTGTAGTGAGCCGCAGAAAGTTACACATACAGTAAATTAATCAAAGGTGTATCTTAAAACATTATTTCAGAAAGACACATATCTTCTGAGAGAGGAAGTCACAACTCCTCGTGTGAACTTATCAGGTTGTCTTTGACTTTTTGTTGACAAAAAAGAAACACTGTTTATGGACCCAGAACTGCATGGGATTAGCAGAATGAACCCATTTACATTCAGATATCCTGAGGTCGAGGGATCCCTTTGAAAACAGCTGTGCCAGTTTTTTCTCTAGCCTTACTTTTGGATCGTTATTAAGCCTCCTTCCTGACATGCTTTCATGACATGGTTGGTTACTAATGGACGCCTTAGGTCATCTGGGTTCATATAATACCTGTATCTTCACTCTAGCTTTAAATCGGAGCCTGCTACAGCCTGAAAGACGTAGATAATGGGGTGGCCAATAGTAGCATACTAGTAAGTTATAAATGTATCGCAGTTAAATGATAGCAGCCCATCTGAGGCTTCAGAGGTCATTGTGGTCATTTCAATAGAAGTTATAGCTCACATTCCTTGTCAATAATCTATTTCAGTGTTACGTTTTTAAATAGTAAATGTGTCATACAGTAACCTTCTGTATCTCTGCTCACTGGAGTTTAAGCCCAGCACATCATTGTCATAAAGCAGTCTGTTAATAATTAATCAATTAAGGTGAAAATATTAAGTTTTGCATTTAACTTGTTGTAACTAACCTTTTTTTTTGCATAACTGGTGCAACAGTCTGCTGAACACGTTTCATGTTGCTTTCTGTGAATAACACACAGAAGAGGTTAATGCATGTGGCAACGAGTAATATGTGGGAGATTTAGACATTAAAGATTTCTGTTAAATACACCACAGGGCTGTAAAGAGAGTGCACAGCCTCTCCTCAGTGCTGAATGCAGCATGCACGATGAGTCACCCTATAAATGGGTTACTTCACAGGTGCACCCAGTCAATGATT